ACCCCTTGCCTCATTTGAATAGCTTCTCCTCAATAAAAGGGGTCAGCTTGTGTGTGTGTGTGTGTGTGTGTGTGTGTGTGTGTGTGTGTGTGTTTTCTCTCTCTCTCTCTTCCCGTGGGCCCTTAAGGTCAGAGGAGCCATCACAGGGACCTCAAAGGAAAAGGTATTTGTGTCTCTTGTGTGGTTATTTTGCGTAGCCCAGTCAGCCCAGTTTTCCTGGAGTGACCCCTGAGCCTTTTAGTCGAGAACAGAAACCCAGCAAACTTCCCTCTACCCCTCTTTAATTTTCTACCCCAAAAAGAGGTACTCGGTAGAAATAAATGAAGAACCATTATGGCCAATGCAGTAGCTGACATAATCGCTCAAATTTAAGTCCTTAATCCATTCACCTTTTCTACAATATGAGGATACCAGGTATTAACAGCAGTAAGATAAGACAAATTCAGGGCAGGCTTTTAATTAAGGATGTCTTCTAAGGCTTTTGCCAGTAAGGTAATTTAATATAAGAAAGAACACCTAATTAGAGATTTTCTCACTGTAACGAACAGGTATGTCAAGGAATGCCAATGTTATTGTTTTATATGTCATGGCCTTGGTATTTGTCAAAATGTATCATTATTTCATTTCCTTCTAGTAAATCTTGTGAGGGACCTATCATGATAGTTATCAACATTTTTCAAGTGAAGAAAACAACAGAAGTTGATCAACATATGTAGGGTTGAACATTGACTCAGAAAGTCAGAGCTAGAACACAAAACCTATTGATTCCCAAATTTAGGTGGGTGGTTTTCTATTTTTTCTATGAGGTTTCATGTCCCAAATTCCTTTATAGGGGAAGGAGGAAGAAACAATTTATCTTTCCTACCTCTAGCCCCTCCTCACTGTCCTATTTGGGGGGAAGAGGTAACTGCAGATTTAACCCAGTGGAAATTTACCACTTAAATCCCCAGCCTTTTTTATTTGTTTTGAGACAGGGTCTAACTAAACTGCTTAGGGCCAATTAATTGCTGAGGCTGGCCTTGAACTTGAGATTCTCCTACCAAACTCCCAATTGGCTGGGATTTCAGGCATACACCACTGCACTTAGTTGCCTTATTTAGTTAGCTCCCCAAAAAGAGCAGCCTGCCTCTGTCTAGGCAACACATTTCAGAGTCTTACCCCAAATGGACTTGAAATCCTATTTATTATCTCACTGGTGGAAAGACCTTTAAAGTAATTTAATCCAATATCCCTTCAGAAGCCTGATTCTTTTCATGTTCTTCTTGGCCTAACCGCATTGGACCTAACCTCACAATCCTAATTATTCACGATACTTTCTTTACCAGGTATCCCTCTAGTCTCAGAAAGGAAAGGATGGCTACAAGTTTGCAAATAGGGAAAGTAAAGGAGAGGTGAAGTTCATTAGGATAAGGATTCTCACCAGGGCACAGGTGGTGCCCTGACTTTCTGAATGACTCCAATCCCAAATGTTTTCCATTCAAACATTTCTGCACAGGAGCACCAAAGCACTAACTGGGATATGAGACAGGAACCTTACCTTTCTTTTCTCAGTTGCTCCCCTGGAGATCATGAAATGCCCATCCAACACTCCATTTTCAAAACCGAGAATCCAAATCAGATCCACCAAACAAAGTGCAGCTTTTTCCTCTTATCCAGGTCCAAAGTCCATAGCTGAATGGACTCTGAGGAGGAGGAGTCTGGGGGGAAGGGGTGTGTCCAAGCCCCTCCCCCCCCACTGCAGATTTCAATGTCCCTCCCAGGGGTCTGTTACATGCCTTCATTCAGCTGGTTTACTAAGCTCAGAGCCTAGTGATGGACAGACTCCAAGTATTATTGCATCTCTTGCTCAGGAAAGGAAAGTCATCCACCCTGAGGTCTCCTCCGTCTGTCTTCTGCTGGAACTCATAAGAAGAAACAGGCCTTAAAACCCGCATGGCCCGGCCGTTGATATCTGTATTAACCTGCAGAACATTTAAACATTAAGATGCTCTCTAATCTAGTCCATACCGGAATAGATTCCTAAGACTTTCTAGTTCCCCCTCCATTTCTGAATTATATTCCATTACTATATCATTAAAAACCCTTCCTTAAATACTCCACGCAAGATTATAGAAAGCTTTTATTTTTGTTTTGTTTTGTTGTTTTTTGTGGTGCTAGGGATTGAACCAAGGCCTTTGTGCATTCAGTGCTCCACCACTGAGTCAGATCCCCCAGCCCTAAGAAGTACGTTAGTATCTACTTCATTCACATACTGTACCCCAAAACAGTCACCTAATCAATATGGACACACAGATGTGGCTCAGAATAAGAGTCATACCTATTCTCAGTACAAAAAAAGTAAGCAAAAGTACTGAATGGGGGAAACTGTCTTCTAAGGAATACAGAAAAGAACGTCCTCCACTCATTTAAGGCACCACATATTAATCGGATCTCTCAAGCTTCTTAGGGTGTTCAGTGTTTTAATCTGCCAGCTCTCTGCAACTGAACTAAATCCTTTCCATTCCGAGATGTAGGTACCTTCTACATGCACTCCTTGCTCTCTTTTCTTCAACCCTCACCTCCCCCTCTGCTTCCAAAACTGTGTCAGGGATGTAATTCCCAATCTCCATCAAACTCTTTTACAGGGCCACTCCCAAAAGCACTCTCCTGGAATGTTTTAGGCCTGACTCCATTCTTGTAATAGCCCAAACCTTCCAAGAGCCCATCCTTTTTGCCCCTTCGTAAGTTTACTCCTAAACACACAAACACACACACACACACACACACACACACACACACTCTTCCTTCCTGTAGGGGCGTGGCATCCACATAACCTCCCCTCCCCCACCAGGAATTTAACTCCTCCCACCCTTCTCTTCAGAATCCCGTGTTCAATGTTCACGGGACAAGGGGGTGACACTGCAACCCTCTCTAAAGTCCGAACCCTATTGATCCGCCGCAAGGACGACCCCCTCCCTAGCGCGTAGAGTCGTTACCTGGATCCCGCCCACCCTGTGTCGGCCGGAAACCACGGCCCGCCCGGGGTCGAAGTCCGGGCCCTGGGCCTGGTCCCCACCGCGGGCCCAGGCCCCACCCCCTCGACCCCCGGCGGCCCGGCCCTCCCCTTGCGCTCCTTTCCCCCTCCCACCATTCACCGCAGCCACTTCCGCCCGTCCTCCGGAAGTGGGCCCAAGGCAACCGCTGCCTTCCCACGTCCCGCCTATTCTATCCCACCCCACCCCCGCCCATCACCACCGCCACTACGGGAGCGCGGGACGTGGGTCTGCAGTGCTCGAGGTTGTTCTACAGTCACTGTTCACAGGATTGAAGTCGAGGTTTGGGCAGAGCCAGATCTGGGTGAGAACGAAGCTGGGGCTCAAGGTAGCAGTCGTACAAGAGGGGGCAGGGCAGAGACTTTGGCCGAGAGTAGGAGCGAGCGTCACGCCAAGCCGATCGAGACCAAAAACGCATGCGTCGCGGACCCTGTCGCGAGCGTTGACGCTCTGACTGCCTGGTGGGCGGGACTTGGGCGGGAAAGGGATGCGGCGAAGTGCACGGAAGTGGGGGCGGAGCTTCTGCTGTGTAACCCTGTCGCTATTCTTCCGTCCTAACTTTGCCTGGCGACGGCTCCCCTGACCTGGCTTCTAACCCCTTGTGCAGCTCGGCTTTCTGAATGCAGTCTCTTTTGGCGAGTTTTGTATTTACCTATTCCTGTGCTGAGAACTGTTTAGCAATACCAGAGGAAAGTTATATCTCCACAGCTACCTTCACCCTTCACCAAGACAACCAGGAGTCTTTGCCTTCCTTACCTCACAGCCAGGTTTCCACACAGCAGCCAGTGGCATCCTGGTATATCTCTGCTTAAAATCACAATAGGAGATCCCTATTTCGCTTGATATGTAGAGCCAAAGTTCTTACAATGTCTTATAGAGCTCATTTTCAATGATTTTCTTACCTTTCTGACAGGCTTGCTCTCTTCTGAATTACTCTTGTCTCAACCACACTGCTTTCATTACAGTTCTTTGAGCCTACCTAAAGGCCTTTGTTTTTTCTATCCTCTCTGTGAAGCTCTTCTAGATATTCATCATCACTCACAACTTCAACCCTCGATTTTTTTTTCAAACATTATCTCAGTGAGTCCTTCCCTAACCAACTTATATAAATTTGCTCCTTTCCCACAACACTGACAGTTTCCCTTATGCAGTTCCTTTTTTTTTTTTTTTTTTTTTTTAGCACTTTGGCCTCCTAACATACTTAACTATTTATTGTTTGTCTCACCCTACTGGAATTTAAATTCCATGAGGGGAAGCATATTTGATTCCCTGCTGTATATTGCTAATGATTTTAATCATACCATACTTCATGTTTCTAAGTATTTTCATAAGTATATAAACATCATTTTTATCTTAACTGCACTTTTTACTTAGATTTTTGCATACCTGTTATAACAAGTCAAAATACATGGAGTTGTGTGAAGAAAACTTATCTCTTCTTCTCCTCTAATTCCACCTTACTAAAGGGAATCCCAGTTTTCAACTTATTGGATGTCCTTTTAAAATGTTTAAACATTCACACATACATACATAACTGGTAGCAGTTTTACAGTTCAAAGATAGGTATACCTGTATTGTGACTTTATTTTCTGTACCTCAGGTCAATTTATATTTGAGGTCTCATTCCCTTTGATGCTAGGAAAATTAAATCTAGTTAATTCAAAAGAAATGTTAATACTTAATGATTTGTTTATTTACTGATTAGTGATCTGTTACAGTTTTACTTCAGTCAATTCAAATTTTACTAATGCCCTTTCTTTCCTTTTTACCTTCATATAATTGCTAGGTTTTTTTTTAATTATAATAAATGAAATGTACATTCATTGAGGAAAATTAGTGAACCATAAACAAAATGGAAAAAATAGTAAACACAGCAACCAGAAATAAACAAGCCTTCCCATTTATTCTGTTCATATTTATGCATATTTGGAATTATACTGCAACTGGCTTGTGTAGCTTAATATATGTGGTGAACATTTTTCCATTTTGCATGTCATTTAATGACTCTGGTTTCTCATTATACAGATGTAGCATAATTATTTCCCTTCTTTTTAGACATTGGGGTTATTTCCAGCTTTTCACATTTATAAAATTAATTGTAGCTAAGTCTCTGTACACATCCTTAATTACATCTTCAAGATAAAGTTCTGGAACTGGTGTCAAAAGGTGTGATTATTGTTGAAAGCTCTTGATGCATGTTATCAAAGGATCTACAGAGAGGTGGCACTGCTTTGACACCAGTTTCTTTCCACATCCTGCCAGCACTGTTTTTTTTTTCTTTTTTGTCTTTTCTAATCTGATAGAAAAATGATTTTGCAGGGTAGTTTTAAATTTATTTTATTAATTACTAGTAAAGTACAACTTTTTTTATTTTTGAAGCATTTGAAAGTTGCTTACTCATATCTTTTACCCACCTGGGCTTATCTTTTTGTTGTTGTTCATTTGCAAGAACTCTATCTAGAATATCAACCTTTTGTTACCTGTGTTGCAGCTATTTTCCCAGTTTGTCATTTGCCTTTTGTTTATGTGCTCTGGATATTACCAGATAACACTAAGCCTGAAGTTTTTCTGCAAGCTTATGCTTGTAGTACTCTAGTGTATCCTTTCCATGGTGCCCTCAATTCAGCACTCACCCAGAGAGCAGTTTTATATATTAGGCTGCACAAGCAGTAACATCATAAGTATTGGCTTGCTTAGTTTGCTTGTCTGACCAGCATTGCAGGAGCATCTGTCCTAAGGTACTTGCAATAAAGTAGCTTTCTACAGATAACATTAACTTATCTTGTTTCCAGTGTGCCTAAGAGAAAGCCTTTGTCCTTTAAGATAATATGTATTTAGACTTTCCATCCCAGAAATAGAAATGGGATGGAAAGTATAGATACATATTATATTAAAGGACAAAGGACAGTTCCCTTAATTTGCTGAGGTTTTGGGGAACAGAAAAGGAGCTTTCAGGGACATGGTGTTTTACTATCCCCCTTTGCTTTAGGGAAGATTAAAAAAAGTCAGCTGGGGCAGAAGTCTGACTATGCTGTGCCTTTAGGATAAACTCCTAAGAGTAAGCTAGAGATTTTTGAATTAGTTATTTCACCTGAAGGACCAGTTGGCAAAGTCTCAAAAGGCAGGATGTCCTAGGTTGTCATTTAGATTGGGGTGGGCAAAAGGGATTGAACATCTGCAGAACATGGCTAAAGGACTGTTTATACCAAGTAGATTCCTCCTTCCTGTGGATGCTTCATGTTTCTGTCAGAAGCAGCAGGAAAATGGCTCCCACCTTTCTTCTGCCTTCCAAAATTTAACTCAAGGACACCTAATAAGCTACATCTAATTGCAAAGGAACCAGATTTCCTACCTCTCCAACTGGAAAGAAGTTAATCAGAGACTAAGAGGCTCATCCAAATGGCCCACCAATTTAATGTATTGGGGACTTTCCATTTCAGTTTGTTATCTGTTCTGATACCTATTTCTGTCTGTGTAGCTAATAGTAAGCACTAAGAGTCTTTCTTCATTGACCTTTTCATTTTTAGATATTTTCTTGAATATTTTCACACACATTTTTTTCAGACATGTGATTTTCAGATAGTATTGGTTTAGAAACTAGGTACTCTTGTAGTTTCCTGGGCTTCTCCTTAACCTGGGTAGTATTTTTTGTACAGGTTTAAGTCTGAACTCTGTAAGTACAGAAGTCAGCATGTACATTTGCTATTTGTTCTTTTATTCTGGAATATCTTTAAAATTTGGACCCATAAGGAAACACCTACACTCATTTCATCCCTTCATCCTATTGTGCCTCTTTGCAACTTCAGCATACTGAACTATTCTCTTCTCCTTCTAACACGCTTCTCCCCTGACTTGCATACCATCACACTTCTCCTCAGTTTTCTTCTTACTCTCTGGCTACTCCTTTCTTGCTTCCTAACTAGCTTCTCCCTATTTTCCTATGCCTGACATTTAAATGCTGAGATTTCCTGTGCTCTTTCTGGTCACTCAGTTCTCATTTTATATTTTTCTTTTCAGGTGATCCCACAGAAGTCATCTGGCTTCCATTGTCAACTTTGTGTCCAATAAACCCAGATACACATTCCCAGACCCTTTTCCTCTGTCCTCCAGGCCCATTGATCCACCTGCCTGCTGGACATCTCAGCTTAGTTTCCTCAGTGATCCCCTTAAACCTCTAATTCAAGTGCCCAAAGCTAAACTTATGACTGTTCCATCCATGACCTCTCCCAGGAAGTGGCTTAGTTATACAGCCAGTTATGTGGCAGAAACCCAGCTGTTTTCCATAAACTCCCCATATTCAATCAATCACAAAAACTTCCATGAAGTTCCTTCCAATTATTCCATGATTGTGATAAGCCTCTCTGTCTCTTCTCAAGCTGGGATGTTTGGGCATCTCATGCCCAGATCCTGGAAATTGAGTGTCACAAGACCCAAGCCTTGCTGACCAGGACCTTCCTGCGATTTGCTGAACCAATGGAAAGCTTCTTAGGTGACAAACCTGAAGCACAAGTGAAAGCAGTATCAACCTTTCTTCTTGAAGGACAACAGGCCAACCATGAAAGTCTTGGGCCCTCTCTTCCTTAGGATTTGTTGCCCTTCTGATCTTTAACACCAGTTGATACCGAGGAGAAATATGAAGTCAAGTTGATCTTTTGTTTTTCTTCCCTTGGGAGAAATTTGAATTTTCCAGTTAGAATGATCATGTAAGTTTCCCTTTGTCTTTTATTTAATTTTTTTAATTAATTATACATTACAGTAGAATGTATTTGACACACTGTACACAAATGGAGCACAACTTATCTTCCTCTGACTGAACATGGTGCAGAGTCACACCAATAGTGTAATCATACATGTATATAGGGTAATAATATCCATTTCATTCCACCATCCTTCCATCCCACACTCCCTCCCCTCCCAACACTCCCTTCTGCATAATCCAAAGTTCCTTCATTCTTCCCTAAACCCCTCCCCCCATTATGGATTAACATCTGCTTATCAGAGAAAACATTCAGCCTTTGGTTTTGGGGTTGGCTTATTTCGCTTAGCATGATATTCTCCAGCTCCCTCTTTAAGAATGTGAATATGTACCACATTTATCTGTTGTAGGGCATCTAGGTTGATTCCAAAGTTGCTAGCTATAGTGAGTTGAGCTGCTATAAACATTGATAAGGCTGTGTCACTGTAGTATGCTGCTTATTATTTGGTTATAAAACAAGAAGTGGGATAACTGTGTCAAATTGTGGTTCCATTCCAAGTTTTCTGAGGAATATCCACACTGCTTTCCAGAGTGAGTTGCACCAATTTGGAGTCTCACTATCAATGTATAAGTATACCTTTTTCCCTACATCCTCGTTAACATTTATTGTTGTTTGTATTCTTGATAATTGCCATTCTGATGGGAATGAGAAGGAATCTTAAAGTAGTTTTGACTTGGATTTCTCTTATTAGTAGAGATGATAAACATTTTTTTTTTCATGTTTGTTGATTTGAGAGTATATCTTCTTCTGAGAAGTGTCTGTTCAGTTCCTTAGCTCATTTATTGATTGGGTTGTTTGAGGGGGTTTTTTTGTTGTTAGTTTGGTTGGTTTGGGGTGTTAAGTTTTTGAATTCTTTATATATCCTGGAGATTAATGCTCTGAGGTGCATGTGCTAAAGATTTTCTCCCATTCTGTAGGCCTTGTCTTTGTGTTATTAATTGTTTCTTTTGCTGAGAAGCAGCTTTTTAGTTTGAATCCATTTGTTGATTCTTGATTCTACTTCTTGCACTTTAGGAGTCTTGTTAAGAAAATCAGTTCCTAGGCCGACATGTTGGAGATTCTTCTATTAGGCGCAGGGTCTGTGTTCAAGTGCCTAAGTCTTTGATCAACTTTGAGTTGATTTTTGTGTAGGGTAAGAGAGATTTAATTTCATTTTCCAAATGGATTTCCAGTCCTAGAATCATTTGTTGAATGGGCTATCTTTCCCCCCAATGTATGTTTTTGGTGCCTTTGTCTAATATGAGATAACTCATAGGTGGGTTTATCTCTGTGTCTTCTTTTTGTACCATTGGTTTACATGTCTGTTTTGGTGCCAATACCGTGCTGTTTTTGTTTCTATAGCTCTGTAGTGTCATTTTAGGTTTGGCATTATGATCATGTCTCCTTCACTCTTTTTGCTAAGGTTTGCTTTGGCTATTCTGGGTCTAATTTTTCCAAATGAATTTCATGATTGCTTTTTCTATTTATGTGAAGAATGACATTGAGATATTAATAAGAATTGCATTAAATGTAACACTTGTGGTAGTATGGCCTTTTTTGACAATATTAATTCCGCCTACCCAAGAGCATGGGAGATCTTTCCATCTTATAAGGTCTTCTTCAATTTCTTTCTTTAGTGTTCTATAGTTTTCATTGTAGAGGTCTTTCATTTCTTTTGTTAGATTGATTCCCAGATTTTTTCTTTTTTTGAGGATATTGTGAATGGGGTAGTTTTCCTAATTTCTCTTTCAGTGGATTCCTCACTAATGTATAAGAATGCATTTGATTTATGAGTATTGATGTTATAACCTGCTACTTCGCTGAATTCATTTATTAGTTCTAGAAGTTTTCGGGTAGAATTTTTTGGATCCTCCAAGTATAGAATCATGTCACCAGCAAATAGTGATGGTTTGAGTTCTTCTTTTCCTGTTCGTATCCCTTTAATTTCTTTTGTGAAAGCAAGAGTTTCAAGGACTATGTTGAATAGAAGTAGTGAGAGCAGGCATCCCTGTCTTGTTACAGTTTTTATGGGGAATGCTTTTGGTTTCTCTCTGTTTAGAATGATGTTTGCCTCATGCTTACATAGATAGCTTTTACGATGTTGAGGTATGTTCCTGCTATCCCTAGTTTTTCTAGTATTTTGAACATGAAGAGGTGCTGTGTTTTGTCTAATGCTTTTTGTGCATCTATTGAGATGATCATATGATTCTTATCTTTAAGTCTGTTGGTGTGATGAATTACATTTATTGATTTCCATATGTTGAACCAACCTTGCATCCTTGGGATGAACCCCACTTGATCATGTTTCACTGTCTTTTAAAGATGTTTTTGTATGCAGTTTTCCAGAATTTTATTGAGAATTTTTGCATCTATGCTCATTAGGGATATTGGTCTGAAGTTTTTCTTTCCTTGATGTGTCTTTGTCTGGTTTTGATGTCAGGGTGATATTAGCTTTATAGAATGAGTTTGAAAGGGTTCCCTCCTATTCTGTTTCATGGAATAATTTGAAGAGTACTGGTGTTAATTCTTCTTTGAAAGTCTTGTAGAACTTAGCTGAGAATCCTTCTGGTCCTAGGCTTTTCTTAGTAGGCAGGCTTTTGAAGACATCTTCTAATTCATTGCTTGAAATTAATCTGTTTAAATTGTGTATGTCCTCCTGATTCAGTTAGGGTAGATCATATATCTCTAGAAAGTTGTCAATGTCTTCAAGATTTTCTATTTTATAGGAGTATAGATTTTCAAAATAGTTTTTAATTATTCTTTGTTTTTCAGTAGTGTCTGTCCTGATATTTCTATCATGAATTTTAGTAATTTGAATTAAACTCATAGCCACGCTGGCATTGTTCTCTTTGTTAGCATGGCTACAGGTTTATCAATTTTATTTATTTTTTCAGTGGACCAACTAGTCTCTTGGTGATGCTTTTCATTGAATTTTTAATTTGATTTATTGTTTTCTTCGTTTTGAGGATTTCTGCTTGGTTCCTTTTTATAATATATCTGCCCCATTATTGAAGTGATCTTTTACTTCCTGTGTTTTCTCTCTGATACCATCTTTTATTTCAAAGATCAGTCTAACTATGTACTTTCTAAACTTCTTCTCTGGCATTTCTTCTACTGTGTTGTCTATGGATTCTGTTGCTGGAAATCTTGGTTTGATTGAGGTGCTTTGTTCTCTTGTTTTTTCAGGTTGTTTTTGTGTCCATCTAGCGTATGGATCTGAGGCAGTACAGTTTCTTATAGTAGTCTTATAGTGTCCCTGCAGGCTTCTAGTATCTCACCTTTGAGGGGGAGACCAATATTAACAGCACCCAATGCAAGCAATATACAACCTTAAACCAAATAGCTCCTATTAAGGAGCTACAGTTTTGTCTCAATAAACAGAAATGATCTGTTCAATTATTGTCTACAATATAAACAATAAGTTTGCTAAAAGGGTTTACTATTTCAAATGCTGGACAAAGAGGGAACAGAAGTAGTTGGAGGATGTGATATTTATAAGGGAGGAGAGAAGATAGAGGTAAAAATTTATAGTAAGAGCAAAGAAGGAATTGGTAGAGGTTGGCTGTTTAGCATGAGAGAAGTGAGAAAGAGAATCCAGGGAGACAGAGAAGTGAAAGAAAAAAATATAGTTTTTTTTAAAAAAAGTAAAAATTTAAGAATACAAAACCAAATTTTGATATACTAGTCAGATATCCCATTCCTCAATAAACTGATGCATGAAAAATATTTGAATTCATACATGGTAGAGATGTGAGAAAAAGGGGAAAAAAGAAAGAAAAAAAAAGGAAAGTCTCTATGGAAAGTTGAACAGTTGCTTCCATTGGCTTTCAAAAAATTTTCTCAGCTTTTCTTTTCTGCCAATAGGTGGGATTTTCTAAAGTTTGATGGTAGCTCCCCAGTCTGATAGCAGGATGCCCTCATACCCTCTTCTAGCCTTTGCACTTGTAGCTAGGCCTTTCTGTCCCAGGGCACTTCAGGATTCCTGGTTCTTTCCAGTTTCTCCAACCTGTGTGCTCCCCACCCCAGGGAACTGCCCCAAGACTCTGGCTTTCCACGGGCTTGCCAAGCCCAAACTGGCCCACACAGATCCATCTGCAATCTGATGGAACTGGGCTTCAGATTCCCCAAGCTCTGCCTTGCTGCAGTCCCAAGATCTCAATGCTATTCCAACTATCAGAAAGACTACCAGGGATGCGCTCACACAAAGGAGCCATCCTGCAAAGAGGCAGCCAGATCACGGCTACTAGCACACCCAGCAAGTGCATCCAGACCTACAGGTATCCTGATGATATATCTATAGGACCTGATTAGTGTCCCCAGACTGAGGCAGCCAACCCTGAGATGCAGTGGTGGCAGTAGCAAACCTGCAGGCCCCTTGGCCTTTGACTCCCAGGCCCTGGCCAGTTTCCCAAGATGGCTGCAATCATGTCTAACGCAACCTGCAGGTACCCTGACAATGGACTTCTGGGCAGCAATGGGCCCTTCAGTCTGCCAGCAAAGGGTGGGCATTTGGCTGGCTAAAGGCATAGATGAGCAGGTAAAAGGCAGGCAAACAGGCAGCCAGCGGGCAGCCAGTGGAAGTAGCCACTGACCAGCACCCAAAAGGCATGCGATATACTGGAAAAGGGGCTGGCGGACAAAGTAGGGGCAAACAGCAGGGGATCAGTGGGCAGCAACGGCTGTCTCTCAGGGAAACAGTATTTCATCTGCTTGTATCCCAAGTCACAGAGCAACAAGGAATACAGCCTCCCAACAGTTCTCTTGGATCTCTTCCTCCCTTTATCTTTGAATTTTGGTAAACTGTACCAGAATGACTTAATTATTTGATTTTTCTTGGATTCATTTCCCTTTAAATCTGAAGATTCTTTCACTCCAGTTCTGCCACTCACTGAAGTATTTTCTTTGGCTAATTACTCAGTTTTGTTGTGAGTGCAGTAAGGATCATGATAATCCTTAAACTAATTCAA